TGGTCTCAGCCATAGTGGAAGACAAGCAAGTGGCCTAGACAGAAGAAAGGGCCTCTTTTTTTTTTTTTTTTTCATTTTTCTTTTATTATTCATATGTGCATACAAGGCTTGGTTTATTTCTCCCCCCTGACCCCACCTCTTGCTGTCAGGAGAGAGGGCTCCTGCAGCAGCCGTTACAGAATGGTTTTGATAGCCCAACTTAGATGTTTCATTGTTTTTCTTAAAAAAAGGAAATTAGCAGAAACTTAATGACTGATTACATAATTAATATTGCCTTGTGACATCTGAAGAATTTACTCCCTAAGGAGCTGACACATGGACAGATTGCAGGCCACTGCTACTGGACATTTCTATAAAGGAGTGTGCTGGTTACGGTCCATGCACCTGAGGACATTATACTTTGTGCACAAAAGAGTTCTGTGAACCCAAGGTTGTTGATGTCTAGGTTTCTCACTACTGTTGACTCATCTGTTCCCTCCTTCAATATGTAGTCCTGTGACTAATGCAAATGCCTTTAAAAGCTACTTTTCAAAAATTCATTAATAATGGCAATTTGGGATTTGAGAGTCATGCTTTTCTCCATTAGTTGCTCTACAAAAATTATGAAAACCCCTGCATCTCCAGGCAGCATCCTCCTGGAGCCTGGGGAATACTCCTTCAGGGCCTCACTTGTCTAGTCTAAGAAAGAATGCACTACAGACTGAGTAGCCCCAAACTGAAATGCTTGGAGAAAGAAGTATTTTGAAATTCAGACTGTTTAATTTTTTGTACATTTACATAAACATAATGAGCTATCTTGATGACGGAAGCCAAGTCTAAATGCAAAATTCATACATGCTTCATATATACCTTATACACGTAGCCTTAAGGTAATTTTCCCCAATATTTTTCGTAAACTTGAATTTTGACTGGGCTTCATCATGAGGTCAGGTGCAAATTTTGCACATGTCATGACTTAAAAAAGTTTTGGGTTTTGGAGCAGTCTAGATTTTGGATTTGCAGATTAGGGATACAGGGATAAACAAAGGTTTATAATTTGTTTAGTGGTGAGTTTGTGTCAATTACTCAATAAAAACATTTTTCAAAGGACTGATCTCAGAGGACATACTCAAGATGTGTATCGAGCTATATATACACATATATATCACTATTTATATATACATAATTATATATATATATGAAACCTTGCTAAAGATGCTTATAATCTAATGGAGAAATATTAAGTAATATGCTCCAAATCCAAATTAAATATAGAAAAGTATATAACAATATAGACTAGTATTCTTGGAGTTTTGACTAAAATCTGATATGCTAACTTTTACATGCCAAAAAAGTTGCTATGTGATAAATAAGAGAAAACGTATTCAAAATCACTTTGACAATTGTGAAAATTAATTTTATAAACAATACATCAAGAACTAAGTTGAAAATAAGCTACTAAGGGTTGCCCATATAAAGATAAGCAGAATATGAGCTGAGTTTTCTAGACTATTTTGATGAAACATTAACTACTTTATTTAGATCTGACCTTCATGAACAAGAGCTAAGTCTAAAAATAGATCTATAGCCATCTCAAGCAAAAACATAATTAACAGCCAGAAATCATGAAGTAACAATTTCTATTGAAAATACAGAGTATAAGAGTTCCCATATATGAATGAGTTCCATGCCTGGATGTCAAAGTGTTGCTAAATGAGGGGAAATGTCAGCATTACTTAATCCAGTCAAATTAGGCCTTGCTCTTAGCTGACACTACATTTGCACCCTACCTATGTGACAAACAATACATGTTATGTTCTGGTATGATTTAATTTTTACAAATGCCATATATCTTGCCTCAAGAGGAAAAGATTTTTTTTGTATATATGACAGACCCTAGACTTTTTCCCATTCAAAATATTAAATATATCATTTTTTATTAATTGTTTTGACTATACAGACAATAGAATCAAATTTTTTGGTACTGGGATTGAACCCAGGCATTTGCTTCTACCACTTGAACTCTACCACTTGGCCCATGCCCCCAGTCTTTTGTTTTTGAGTTAGGGTCTTGGACTGAGGCAAGGCTCAAAAGTGTTTGCCTCACAACAACAAAGCTTGGATTTCAATCTGTAGTACCAAAAAAGGGAAAGAAAGAAGAGAAAGGAAGGAAGGGATGGAGGGGGAAAAAGGGAGGGAGAAAGGGAGAGAGGGAGAGCGGAAGGAAGGAAGAAAATAAAAGAAGATCAGGTTCTGCAAAGCTTTCTGAGTAGCTCCTTCTGAGTATCTGGGATTACAGATGTAATGCCCATCCTCAATCAATTATTTTTAAAGAATGGAGTTCCTCAAGACATGAGGCATTTATATAGCATAATTTAGTGTTGTCAGTATATTCAGCACCATGCCACAGTGGAAAAGGTACTCATTTTCTAATTTTCTTTCCTTTCTACTGATTATATCAGGATTACATTTCAGTATGGTGCAAGTATATGTTCACTATTTCCCAAATATTAGCTTATGTTCTTTTGTAATGAAACAACTGAGCTCAGGATAAGCACACAATGATATCTACTTAAAAGTTAATGCTGTTTTCTTAAATTTTTATTTATGTTTAGCACTGCAATCTATTTATGGCAAGTAATATTTCCTTATTTCCCATTTGTAGAAATAATATAAAGTTCAAGTTGAGAAAGTGTGTCAACATAAAGAAAAATACTAGGCAAACAGGAATACAAATGGTATTGTGATATGGTGAAATTTGTGTACTTGGCAATTCACAAGTGACTGAAGTTGTGGAAGTTGGGCTAAAATAATTAACATTAAAGTTTGTTCATTTATTCCATGTTAATTACTATTAACACTTTCATCCATGCAATATAGTAATTCCTAAATTTTCATTTCTCTAGACAGGGAACTACACTATTATTTAGCCAAAAGAATATGAGTAAAATAAATTATTGATAGAATTAAGAGATAGAACACGGTGTCTTTTAATAGCATTAATTGAATTTGTTTCATGATTGTTTTTTCCACAGGAGTTTGGAGGTGTCATTAAAAGAGGTACATAAGTATCATGTAGGCAAAATCATATTACAAGACAGCCACTTGGAACTCTAAAATAATATTCTCACACTTTGTTCTGTCACAGCACATAGAAAATAATTTTTACATGCTACATATATTCCCAAGGGCAAACTCAGTTTTTGGCAAAATTCCCCACACTTCCATTTTTTCTACAATACTTAGGAAATAAAAGGTTATAGGTGTTAATTATATATAATTTTCAATATGTTCCATTCCATTCATAAAAGCTAAATTAAATGTTAATTAAGTAAGATACACTAATTTGATGTGTCAGTTTTTCAAGCAAAGCCTTTCAATGCCAGCACTTTGCCTATTATTAGTAACACCTGGTGTAACTCAAGACCATCTCATGACACCTGTTGCTGGAGTGCTCTCAATTACCTAGAAACACAGAGGGAATAATGGGTCAAGCATGACGTGCAGATGAGGTGCCTAAGCAAATGGGCTGGTACCAGTTATTCATAACTTAGTTAACTAATAGCCCTTGTTAACTGTGACACTTAAAAAATATGACATTTATAACATTCAGAAAAGCAATTTTTAGTAAGATGGAGGGAAAACCTATTCTTTTACTTGAAAGTAGAATAGTGGTAGTCCAAATTCTCTCATATGCATTAATGTGTTCTATGATACTAGAAAAACAAATTATTCCTTTTATGGGTAAAATTTAGCATTTGCTGACACTTAAAATGATTTAGTGTATTATGGCTTAAGTTTAGAAACATATAAATTAGTAACTTTTAAATAATGGATGGTATGGAAACAGTAGGAATAAGGAGTACATCAAATGCAAACTGTGTTGAAATGTAAATCAGTTGTTTAAAGTTCCAGAGATCTGATCAATATCACTGATATAAAATCAAGCCTTACAACAGACCACTTCAATATGCCCTTTAGGAAAAAGAATTCCTATTATGAATTATAATACAATTGTGACTTGTTTACATGTGTATGTGCTTTGCTCTACTGTAATGAAATAAGCCAACAGCAATCACTTTAACTTCATGATTATGCTGTGAATTTCTTTTGCAAAAATAACAGAAACAGACCTATGGTCAGCATCAGAGTTTTAGCATATTAATAATAAAATCATCTTGTTTTGCATCTATGATGACCTTGCAATGGCCTCAAATGATCAATAATTCTTTCATTGAAAATTTAATAAGTGTGGAGATATGGCTGAATATCACAATAAACACACTCCCATCATCTATGTTCACTACATATGTTAACTGTTGAAAAATATTAATTAAGGAATCGAAAGTGAAAACACCATTAGACAATAATTCCAAATTAAGCAAAATAGTAAAAGAGAACTTTTTTACTCACAAGCCATGTACTCATACAGATATTAAAAAGCACAATTATTCAACTTTTTGCTTAGTTGTGAGATCATGAGGATTGTAAGGCCAGACTAAGCAAAAATTTTGTGAGACCCCCATCTCAACCAATAGGAGGTATGGTGGGGTGCCTATTATCCCAGCTATGACAGGAAGCTTAAAATAGGAAAACTGATCCAGCTCAGCCTGGGCAAAAAGTGAGATCCTATTTCCAAAATAACCAGAACAGAAGGGCTGGTGGTGTGGCTTGAGTGGTAGAGCACCTGCCTAGCAAGCATGTAGCCCTGGGTTCAAACCCTATTGCCATCACAGAAAACAAAGCAAAAAAATGCAGTACTTTTTGTTAGTAGGTATACACTTTAAACATCAATAGTTTAATTGGTTAATATTCCCATAGAGGCATAAATAAAAAGATTTGAAAAACGGACTATAGTATTTTAATCAATGATTGCAATGGTGGTTGACAAGTCAAATAGAATTCACCTGGTATTTAAATTAAAATTACCTCTCCAGCATCATTTGCACATTTCAGGCCCAACTATAATTCTGAGTTTTCCCACTGTATTCTTAACACCAACAAGACCTAACAGGTACTACCATGGTCTTTGAGATTGCGAAGAATCGCTGTCGGAAGGCTATGGGACTGCCACCCTGTCACTAGCTCGGCCTCTAGCTCCTTATGGTGGGCCCTGAGCATGAGGGGCGGCACTTTCAGAAGCAGGTCAAGAGGCAGCAGAGCTGAAGAAATAAAAGGGGGAAAGGTATAAACTGTCACACATTACACTGCATTTCAGGAAGGTGTGCTTGATTTTATTGTTGCCATTATGAAGTTACCTGGTCTTGATCTTGATCCTATCCCACCAAGGAAGTCCCTGAAAACACAAGCAGAGGCCATTAGAAGGATTTGTTCAACTTGATTTGACAAACTTTTACTGAGAGCTACATTCTGCTATGGTCTACATTATGAACGTAAAAGAGTCGATTCTCCCTCAAGACCCTCTTGGGGTTTAAGAGGGCAATAAGAACATTCTAACACAGGGTAGAGTGGACATTCTCCCGACCAATGGAAGGACCTTGTTCCACCAGGGCTGGTTAGAAGCTCTAAGGATGATTAAGGGCCTAAATCTCAATATCCTGAGTGCTTACTTTGTTTGACTTAAAATCAAAGCAGTGATTTTATATTAAAAACAAATAACATTCAAGGGTGGAGGTGTGGCCCAAGCAGAGAGCACTTACTTAGCAAGCAAGTATGAAGCCCTGAGTTCAAACTCCGGTGCCCCCCCCAAAACCCACAAATAACATTCAAATTTTATATGGTATTTTCCATGATTTGTTCCTACTGTCTTCGAAGAAAAAAACCTGTTAATATTCCCATGAAATGAGATGATTTTTGCATTTAAGAAAGTTATATTTTCTTTGAGTTTCCAGGCAGTCTTTTTTTGCCTTTCCCCAAATTCTAGATTGCCTGATCATTGTGAAAGTTGGTCTCAGAGCCTTCTACACTGTGGTTTTACCCACTGGAACCTAAAGCAAATTTCTTAACAATTTTCTGAATTGATATAAGAAACATCTGTGGCATAACAGGTTCTGAAAACCATACTTTAATGTAATGCAAGCCAACAAAAATGACCATGTGTAAGGCACAGGAAGGGTATTTGCTCAGTAGGAGTGGGTATAATTCAAATTAAAGTAAATGTGGCTGATAATTTTCTTGCCCTAATCTTTTTAATTTTAATCATAGAATTTTCAATGCTTTCATGCAACTCATATTTAAGCTATTCAGTGTAACAAAATTGGCACTTACCCAACTTAAGTACTAGAATAATACCAAAATCTTTGTATATACTATAAGTTCTTTCACTATCCCTAACCATCCCCCTTTGATCCTCACACCAAGCCAGCCCTCTCTAGATCCCATAATTTTTTTGGCCCATTCCAAGCCCAAGTTTACAGAACCTTGAAATATAAATGAAACTTGTCAGCCATGGACAGTTTATATACTCCCCTGACCTTAGGACAGGGGTATGTTTAAAGATAGGAAACGAATAGACCTGTCTTTAAAGAAGGGCATGTTTACAACAGTGCCCAGTATGGTGGACAGCCTCAGGGCTGGGCTGGACAGCTGAGATTTTCTTCTGGCTTCTCGCCTCCTTTTGCATACAACAGGCCTGTACAACCCTGTTTGAATAACTGTAACTCTTAGTCTTCTTGATGAGTCCAGCACTGTCCAATAAAAATATAATGCAAGCTACAAATATAATAAATCTTCTGGAAGTCACATTTTTGCTTTTTCAATTTATTTTGGTTTTTCCATTTTTATTAGCATATATTCATTGTACTGGGGGGATTTATTGTGAATAGCCTTACATTGTACATTGGTTAGATTGTTCCCTTCATCTCCCAGCCCCTGCTACCCTCTCCTGTCCCACTTAAAGCAAGTAAAAGAGGTTTCATCATTCTATTTCCTAGATGTATGTGAAGCCCATCAACCCTATTCCTTTACCTTCACCTCCTCCATTCACCCTCCCTCCTCCCACAAATATATCTCATGTTCAGTACCTATTTTATAGACATGTCTTTCATTGTCCATTTCAAAGTCAATGTTCAGAGGGGTTTCTCAAAGTAGCCCAGCTGTGAATATGCTTTACTTTGACCATTTCAACCCCCCTGTAAATCTCCCTTACTCCTTCCCTTCCACCCCCCTTATTCAACAGCTTTCAGTACATATCTTTATGTCCTCTACCTATACAGATGTGAAGTAGTTTGATATTGACTCTCTATCATTCTCTTTTTCTTTCCCTCCTCCCCGAAGGTCCAAAGTGTAGTTTCTCTATTACCACCATGTTCTACATGTAGATGTGCATATGACCATGTTTGTCTTTGTGTATACATTTATCTTTAGGATCTATCTTCCACATATGAGAGAAAACATGTGGCCTCTGTCTTTCTGAACATGGTTTACTTCACTTAAATTTAAAACAACTGAAATAACCCCCTGTATCATATCAGATCACAATGGAATAAAACTAGAACTCAACAACAAAGGAAGCAGCAGAAAATAGTCAAATACTTAGAGGCCAAACAATACACTGCTGAATGACCAGTGAATCATGGAAGAAATAGGGAAGAATTGAGAAGTTATCTAGAATCTAATGAAAATGAAAACACAACCTACCAGAACCTGTGAGGCACAGCAAAGACCATGCAAAGGGGAATGTTTATAGCTATGAGTGCCCACATTATAAAAACAGAGTTCTCAAATAAACAACCTAATGATATTCCTTAAGCTTTTAGAAAAACAAACACCAAATCAAAACTTAGCAGATGGAGAGAAATAATAAAGGTCAGGGTCAAGATCAATAAGATTAAGACAAAAAAACTATACACAGAATCAATGAAACAAAAAGTTGGTTCTTTTTTTAATTAGGAAAAAGGTTGTTATTCAGAAAAATTAAATAAGATCAATAAACCCTTACCAGTCTGACTAGACAAAGGAGGGAGAAGACCCAAATTAATAAAATTAAAGATGAAAAAGGGGACATAACCATAAATACTAATGAAATCCAGAGGATCATTAGGGAGTATTTTGAAAACTTATATTCAAGTAAAATCTAGAAGAAATGGATACATTTCTAGATGCATTTAGCCAACCAAAATTGAACCAAGAAGATACTAACCACTTTAGTGGATATATTATTAGCAATGAGATTGAAGCAGTAATAATGAGGCTCCTAACAAAGAAGAGTCCAGGACCTGAAGGATTCACAGCTGAATTCTGCCAAACCTTTGAAGAAGAACTAATACTAATTCTCCTCAAATATTTTTAGGAAATAGAAAATGAAGGAACACTACCAAACTCATTCTATGAAGCCAGTATTAGACTCATTCAAAAAACCCAACAAAGATGAAACAAATAAAGGAAATTATAGAGCAATATCTTTAATCAATACAGAGACAAAAAATCTCAACAAAATACTGGCAAACCAAACACAACAATACATCAAAAAGATCATATACCATGACCAAGCTGGTTTCATTCCAGGGATGCAAGGATGGTTACACAAATCTAGAAATGTAATACAGCATATAAACAGAAGAAAAGACAAAAAAAAAATCACATGATCATTTCAATAGGCGCAGAAACAAGCTTCAACAAAATTTAACATCCTTTCATGATAAAAGCATTGAAGAAACTAGGAATAGAAGGAACATTCCTCAACATAATAAAAGTTGTATACGACGAACCTATAGCCAACATTACACAAAATGGAGAACAACTGAAACCATTTTCATTAAAGTCAGGAATGAGACAAGGATGCTTACTTTCCCCACTCCTACTCAATACATTTTTGGGATTCCTACCTAGAGTGATAAGATAGGAACAAGAAATAAAAGGAATTCAAATAAGGAAGGAAGAAATCAAAATACTCCTATTTGGAGATGATATGATCTTATACATATATATATATATATATATATATATATATATATATATATATACTGTTAAAAAAAACCATCAAAACTCTTAAAACATAAAATCATAAACACGTTTGGCAACGTATCAGGACACAAAATTAATCCAGACAAATCAAGTAGCTTTTCTATATAAAAACAATGAACAGACTGAGAAAGAAATCAGGGAAACAATTCCATTTACAATAGCCTGAAAAAAATACATATGAATAAATTTAATGAAAGAAATCAAAGCCCTTTCCAATGAAAGCTACAAATCACTAAAGAGAGAAATGGAAGAAGACTTTAGAAGATGGAAAGACCTCCCGTGCTCATGGATAAGCAGAATCAATATTGTGAAAATAGCTACTACCAAAGGCAATCTACACATTCAACACTAACCCTAACAAAAGTCCAAGGACATTCTTCACAGAGATAGAAAAAGCAATCATGAAGTTCATATGGAAACACAAAAGACCTCAAATAGCCAAAGCAATTCTGAGCAAAAAGTCCAATACTGGAGGTATAACAATACCTGACTTCAAACCATGCTACAGGGCCATAACAATAAAAACATCATGTTATTGGCACAAAAAGACACAAAGACCAATAGAACAGAATAGAAGACCCAGACATAAGTCCACACAGCTATAGCCAACTAGTTTTTGACAAAGGAGCCCAAAACACACAATGGAGAAAAGACAGCCTCTTCAACAAATGTTGCTGGTAAAATTGGATATCCACATGTAGAAGACTGAAACTAGTCCCCTGCCTTTAACCCTGTACTAATATCAACTCAAATTGGATCAAAAACCTCAATATATGGCCTGAAACTTTGAAATAACTATAGGAAACAGTAGGAAATACACTGGAACATACAGGCATAGGAAATGACTTCCTAAATAGTACTCCCATGGCTCAGCAACTAAAAGACAAGATCAACAAATGAGACTGCATCAAACTAAAACCCTTCTGCACAGCAAAAGAAAGTCACTAGACTTAAGAGAATGGGAGAAAATCTTTGCCAGCTATTCATCCGATAAGGAATTAATATCCAGAATGTACAAGGAGTTCCCAAAACTCAAACTACAAATAATAAAAACCCAAAGAAGAATGAATAGGGAATTTTCAGAGGAACAGATACAAATGGTTAATAAATACATGAAGAAGTGCTCAACTTCCCTGGCTGTAAAAGAAATGCTAATCAAAACTACACTAAGATTTCATCTCCTTCCAGTTACAATGGCCATCTTTAAGAACAAAAACAACAATGAATGTTGACAATGATGTGGAGGAAAAGGAACACTTACACACTGTTGTGGGAATATAAATTAGTACAACCATTATAGAAAGCAGTATGGAGCTTTAAAAACTAAAAGAATGTACATCAGGATACAATAGAGACACTTGCACACTAATG